TTTGTTCCTGCTCCCGGTGGTTGGAACCTTTATTCCACTCTGGATTCTTGTGAGTGTAGTCTTTGGGAGCATGAGAAAGAAAAAGAAATAAATAAACAGTTTTTGAAACTTCTGTATTCATTCTTTTCCTGCTTTGTGTGTCAACGTTCACGGTTGCTAAGCAACAGAGCATACGGCGGTAAAACCCGCCAAAGGGTAGACCTGGTCGAATTAACAGCCAAAACTCTTCCGGTCTCCTTATTTTAAAGGACTTCGAAGGATCCAGTCTAGGTAGACCGCATCCTTGGAGGACCCGTCCTAGGTTTTCGAACAGAGCACTTGTTTCAGTCTCCTACAAATACTCTTGCTGTTTACTTCCTCTTTGCTGGGTCCTAGTCTAACCTCTGTGGAGTAAAAATGAGCGCTGAGAGTTGATATGCAAGGAAGAAAAGTTTTTATTCATTAAATCAACTAAAAAGTTCACCTCTGCCTGCCTGCCTCTGCCTCTGGGTCCACAATCCAGTAACAAACCCTGACAGTACTGAAATGCCTAAGTGTTCTCTATCTCCCTTTCCGTCCAAAGGCAATAGATAAAATTGAATATTATGTCTTGCAAGAAATGCTTCCAACTAAGTTCACAAGACTCCCAGAGGATAAGAGTGGAGTAAATCGGAAAGGTACATGGGGATTATTGGCATTTACGGTAGGCATTTTATAAAGTAATTATTTAGGATTTTGAAATCGTGCAACGCACAGCTAATGAAGGGAATAAATTTGAGTCTATTTGGAGCACTTGTGGAACAGCATTGTTTTAACACTGGTAGCCTTTGTGAAAGTCAGCTGGCAGGAAATGGGTGGAGAGAGAGACATGGACATGAAATGTTGTGAGTTGTGCTCTTTAACATTGTTACTGTTGGAAAAATGTATATCTTATCATTTTATTTCAAGTTACAGGCACTTGGCCAAGGAATGTAAAGTATTGTTCTAAATGAGGACAGCAAGTATTTCTCTCAAAGGCTGGTATTATTCAGCTATGCAGCTGTAGGTGACTGATAACTTCTGACCCCTCGTGGTAACTTTTGACCACTCCTGTAATTCCTTTGAAGTCCAATAATAAAAGCAGCAGAAAAGAGAGGTTTGGGCAGAGTTGAGTACAGACTTTTCAAGGGGTCTCACCCTTGGTCTGTCCCCTCTCTCTCTTTTCTGCAGAAAGAAAATAATAATTGCTTTGTTTGGTTTTCATTTCTAGGACCCTCTACCCTTTATATGTAATTCACTATCTTCAAAGGAGGAGTCTAAATGAGTCTCAGAAATAGCAAGTATATTCAGCTTATGTTCTTCTAACAATTCAGCTATATCATTTGTTTTATTCCTTAGACTGTTTATATTTATATGTGCAATAATTAGTCCACTTTTTAGTCGCTTGTGTTGGGATGTCATTGCCATATATTTTAAGAAGCAGTCCTGTAAGCATATTTCCGTTTGTTTATTCTATCTTGGGGTGCTGGTACGATGTCGGATTATCAGTTAGTCGTGTCTGAGGTAAGCTATTTCACCCTTATCACGTGCAGCTTTTAGTTTTGGCATGAGTTCCTTTCTTTTTAACCTTACAGCATCTGTGTAGTCCTCATTGATGA